TAGATCCCCAAACTCTTTCTTGTAAGATATGGATATATCATGACTATTTTCTCTTGTCCAAGATTGATAGTTTACGGGCATTTAAATGAATTTGAGTCTAGATGTACTAAGCAGGAAAGCATTATTAGTTCTGCATGCAGGTCATTGATTCCACTACATGCTGACATTTTCAGGTCTTATAGTTGGTCAGCAAATGTGTGGCAAAAAGAAATGATGGTATTTTCTATCTCATTCTCAATGTCACGTCACCTTGTCTTTGACATGTATAATTTTCTTGGAGTAATTGATAGGTCAATGTTTGTTTGATGCTTGAAAAATATTATGAATTGCCATGCGTTTCTCATATAATATATATATATATGTCCAGAGAGAATGAATGTAACAGTATGTCGAAAATGAAATGAAATGAAAAGCAATGTTGTATTTTTTGTTAGAACTCATAATGGGGCATGCTAGATGCATGTGAATCTACTCTGCTTTCCAAAGTTTGTCCTTGCAATTCATTTCAAACTGTGCATTCATATATTCATTTCTAAGAGACTCTGACTACAACTTGGATCTCAATTGTCAATTTAACTGTCTATAAATGGTTAAATATTTGTGCATATATATCCAGTTTTATTGTTGCATTAGATTGTTCCAAGTTGGCCTTAAGAATCTTGAATCAGATTGATTTGAAATAAAAAAAAGAAAAAGAAAAAACAATACGAGACCTTAATGGAATACACGCACTCTATGGCTGCTGCTTTCACCTGACCTATCATAAAACATGTTTCACAATAGATGTGGAGTACAAGTAGCAGGTAACGAAATACGAATGACAACAAATGAGAAAAAACTCATACAGGTGGTCAATAAGGACATGTGACGAGTGTGCCACATATGAAAGTCAAGAAAACATGTGCGGGGCCAATATTAATGCCATCACTCATGAGTGGGTAAGTTGGCTGAAAGACTTGTTCTTATTAGTCATTTGCACCACTTGCACCAAAGGAAATGTACTTAGGTTTTTCCCCAGTAACTGTATATGGAAATCCAAATATCAACTAACAGTTTTGATTGCTATTCGTAAGTGAAGTAGTTGATAGTAACTATTTGGTGATTGTATCAACCTGCTTTATTCTTAAATCATGAGAACATATTGGATAAAATCTTATATTACCATCATCCACTGAAATCTGAGTAATATGTGTTAAAGCAGCACATAGGCACCTGAACAAATGGAAGCAATAGTTTCAGCAACAATCTTATTAACCAAAATATTATTGCAAATTATGAAAAAGACTATTCGGCATACTTTCCGCTGTTATTAGAAAGTCTTTTCTTTCCATCTTCTTGTTTCTATTGATCTAGATATATCCCTATAGTATATACCGTGTAAACTCATTTGTAACAGCATAGTTTGATCGCTAATAAAATCTTGCACTATAACAAACATTCTGTTAGGTCATTCTTCTATTTTCTATTAGTTTTGTAGTACTATTATTGTTCCTTGTCAAATAAATTGATTTGTCATGGCTAGAGGCTTCTGAAAAGAATACATTGGTGATATATTTATGGCATTTGGAATGGTATCCGTGCATGTACTTCTTGTTAGCTTTTGATAAAACTCTCTTTATAATGAACTATATTTTGTATTGAATTTTTATCACTTATTGATTCATATATCTTGCCCATAGGCTTACATCCTTTTATATAGAGAAGGTTATACATAAGTTCAATGAATAAGATCCATGAACCTAAACAACCTTGTAATTAATTAGGTACATGAATATAATCTAGACAATGTACTTAATAAATATAAAATACATTAATACAAAGAATGTATGAACTCAATGTATCCAATGCATGCAATGTATCCAATGTATCTAATGTAAATATGGCATTAATTTTAACACTCCCCTTTAATGCCATATTGTGTGACACCCAACATTTCTCTAAAAAATCAAATTTGTCCCTTGGGAGAGCTTTGGTGAAGATGTCCGCAACTTGATCTTCAGTCTTGCAATACTTGATTTGAATCTCATCATCTTCCACAGCTTCTCTAATAAAATGATGTTTGATAGCAATGTGTTTGGTACGAGAATGGTAGACAGGATTCTTTGCCATAGCAATAGCAGACTTATTATCACACATAATTGGAGTAGCTTCACCTTGTTTCTCACCAAAATCATCCAAAATTCTTCTTAGCCAAATTGCTTGTGTAGTTGCCAATGATGCTGAAATATATTCGGCTTCAGCAGATGATTGTGCCACAGTTTGTTGTTTCTTGGATAACCATGAAATTACACCCGATCCAAGAGAAAATGCATACCAGAAGTGCTTCTCATATCATCAACACATCCGGCCTAATCACTATCACAAAATCCAATTAACTTTGCATCAAGAAATTTCTCATAAAAAATTCCATAATCAAGTGTACCTTGAATGTATCTCAACACTTTTTTTGCAACCCCAAAATGAATTTGGCTTGGACTGTGCATGAACCGAGACAATAAACTTGTAGCATACATGATGTCCGGTCTTGTAGCAGTTAAGTACAACAAACTTCCAACCAAACTTCTATAACAAGATGCTTCAGCTTCTTTGCTTCCATCTTCCTTTGGCAACTTTTCATTCACAATCAAGGGAGTAGCAACTGCTTTGCAATTCTTCATTTTAAATTTCTCAATAAGTGTTTGAGCATACTTCTTTTGGCAAATAAAAACACCACCATTGTTTTGGTGGATTTCAATGCCTAAAAAATGATGCAATAGCCCCAAATCACTCATTTCATATTTCTTCATCATCTCCATTTTAAAATCTCCAATCAAGTTTTCATCACTTCCGGTAAAAACCAAATCATCAACATAAAGTGAAACAATGAGAATACCGGTTGTACCTTGCCTCTTGATATACAACGTTGGCTCACTTTTGCTTCTTTGAAAACCCTTTTCATTGAAGTAAGCATCAATTTCACTATACCATGCCCGGGATGCTTGCTTTAGGCCATATAAAACCTTCTTCAACTTGTACACTTTATCTTCTTTGCCTTTGACAACAAAGCCCTAAGGTTGATCAACATACACTTTTTCTTCTAATTTCCCATTCAAAAATGCAGACTTTACATCAAGTTGGTGCAAGAACCAACCCTTTTGAGACGCTAAAGCAATGATAGCTCTAATTGTATCAAGTTGAGCCACAGGAGCAAAAGTTTCTTGGTAATCAATTACAGGTTGTTGTGAATACCCTTTTGCCACAAGTCTTGCTTTGTTCTTTTGAATAGAGCCATCCGGATTGAACTTTGTTTTGAAAATCCACTTCACACCAATTATTTCTTTTTCTTTCGGTTTCTCCACTAACTCCCAAGTCTTGTTCTTCTCAATCACATGAATTTCATCTTCCATTGCTTTCTTCCATGCTTCATCTTTAATTGCCTCTTCAAAATTTTCAAGTTCAACAACGCATAAATTGTATCTTGCATACACATCACAAAGACTCCTAATATTTCTTGGAGTTGAACTTGGAGATGAAGAACTTGAACTTGAACTTGAACTTGGAGAAGATTGTGAACTAGCAATTGGTGACAATCTTTGTGGAGATTCAAGAGTTGCAACATCTTCAACTTGTAGACTTTCCGATTCTTCATTGAAAGTAATGCTTTGATCTTGGACTTTCTTTTCCTTCCAATCAAAAGACGCCTTCTCATCAAAGAGAACATCTCTACAAATAATCACCTTCTTTTGATTCAAACTGAAGAGTCTATAGCCTTTGGATTTTGAGCTATAACCCACAAAGATGCATTTCTTACTATTTTCATCAAGCTTGTGCCTCACTTCTTTTGGAACATGAGCATAACAAATGGAACCAAACACCTTCAAGTGATTCACCGATGGTTTCCTTCCACTCCAAGCTTCAAATGGAGTTTTGTCCTTAAGAGCTTTTGTAGGACATCTATTCATCAAGTAAACTGCTGTATACACGGCCTCACCCCAAAAAGTTTTGGGTAGCCCCTTCTCATGTAGCATAGACTTGGACATCTCCTCTATGGTTCTATTCTTTCTTTCTGCCACACCATTTTGTTGTAGAGTGTACCCAACAGTCAATTGCCTTTCCATTCCAATATCTTCACAAAATTTCATAAACTCATTTGAGTTGTATTCTCCGCCTCTATCACTTCTCAGTACTTTCATCAAACAACCACTTTGTCTTTCAATAAGATTTTGAAATTTCTTGAAGATAGAGAAAACTTCACTCTTTTGTCTCATGAAATACACCCAAGTCATTCTAGTAAAATCATCAACAAAGATAATAAAGTATTTGTTACCTCCATGAGTTTGTGTATCCATAGGTCCGCAAACATCGGTATGGACAAGCTCTAATGGTGCTTTAGCTCTCCATGCTTTCTCCTTTGGAAATGACTCCCGGTGATGCTTTCCAAGTGCACAACCTTCACAAATATGTTGCACTTCATGAATGGTTGGCAACCCAAAAACCATATTGTTTTGTTGTAGATGCTTCAAGCTTTGAAAATTCAAGTGCCCAAATCTTCTATGCCAAAGCCATGAATTATCAATCACATCCATCTTCAAAGCTGCATTTTTGCTATACCGAAAAATGAGAGGAAAACTTCTATTCTTCTCCATCTTGATTTGTGCTACAACTTGGCTTTTTCCCTCTTTGTCAAAAATTTTGCAAAAATCGTCTTCAAAGTGAACAAGATATCCACGCTCCATAAGTTGTCCAACACTTAGCAAATTTTGCTCTAAGTCTGGAACTAAGAGAACATCGGAAATGAATCTTGTACCCATCTTGGTTTCTATAGCAATAGTACCTTTTCCTTTTGTTTGGACTAAGGCACCATTCCCCATTTTTACTTAAGGACTGGAGGAAGCATCCATTTTTACAAAAATGCTTTCATCTCCTGTCATGTGATTACTACATCCGCTATCGAGAAACCATACATCCTTGGTTTGATCGGATGCCTTTTGACAAGCATAGAACATGTGCCCTTCACTTTCTTACTCCTCAGAAAAGTTAGCTTGTTGAGTGCTCTTGACTAGGCAATCCTTCTTGACATGCTCAAATTTGTTGCAATTGTAACATTTTGGCTTTCCTCGAAACCAACAATCTTTATCAACATGATTGCTTCGGTTGCAAATTCCACACTTTTGTTGAGTGGACTCTTCATTTTCCTTTCTTTGAAAATTAGACCTTCCTCTTCCTCTTGCATTTCTTACTCTTCCGGTTGCATTTCTTCCTCCTCCTCTTCCTCTTCCTTGGAAATTAGAGGTACTAACATTGAGCTTGGATTGAAAGGCACTTTCAATTGACTTTTCAGATTGCCTACTCAACCTTTGCTCAAATGCTTTAATTGAACCCATCAATTCTTCAATACTCAAATCAGCAAGATCTTTAGTTTCTTCAATGACAGCAACAATGGGGTTGTATTTCTCCGGCAAACTTATCAAAATTTTCTCAACAACTCTTTGATTAGTAATATTATCCCCATAAATTTTCATTTGGTTTACAAGTTCCATAACCCTATAAAAATAATCCTTCAACAATTCCATATCCTTCATCTTTAAATTTTCAAAATCTCTTTTCAATGACTGAAGTTTGATGGTTCTTACCTTCAAGTTGCCTCTATACTCTTTTTGAAGAATATCCCATGCCTCCTTCGCTTTTGTTGCATTGATAATTCTTGGAAAGATTGCTTCTGAAACTCCTTGTTGAATAAAAGAGAGAGCCTTTGAATCCTTCTTCCTTTGCTCTTTTAATTGGTTCTTTTGGGGATTTGTCAAACCTACTTCATCTTCAGGTTCCTCGAACCCTTTCTTAACAAGATCCCAAAGTTCCGTATAGACAAAAATAGTTCTCATTTTCACATACCAAAAATTAAAATTTTCACCATTAAAGATAGGAGTGGATACATTTTGGTTGATAGGATTCGCCATGGACGTCGGTTTGTTCTTCTTCGGGGTTTGTTTTCCCGTATCCAATCTCTACGCCCAGCTTGCTCGTGACCCAACCAAAGCTTTGATACCACTTATGTTAGCTTTTGATAAAACTCTCTTTATAATGAACTATATTTTGTATTGAATTTTTATCACTTATTGATTCATATATCTTGCCCATAGGCTTACATCCTTTTATATAGAGAAGGTTATACATAAGTTCAATGAATAAGATCCATGAACCTAAACAACCTTGTAATTAATTAGGTACATGAATATAATCTAGACAATGTACTTAATAAATATAAAATACATGAATATAAAAATACATGAATACAAAGAATGTATGAACTCAATGTATCCAATGTATCTAATGTAAATATGGCATTAATTTTAACACTTCTTATATGAAGGCAGACTGCACTGAGACAATTGGTCTCGAGTTAAGAAACATCGACGCTTCCAAGGTGTGTGTCCTTGTTGTGTCGGTTCGTGTCCGACACCAACACTCTTGTTTTACCCCACATATCGATCTCAATATTCGCCATTTTCCCACTAGCCTGATTATAACCCATCTGAATACTCTTATTAGCAAATCAATCCATGAACTGGGATTTATCCATGGGAGATTAATTGCTTCCTATTTATATGTTACAAATTTCTTTACCCTCGTCAATCAATCCTCTGGCATCCATGCTCCACTCATAGTGTGAATTTGGAGCAGAGTTCATTGTGTTCATGTCTAGAGTGTTTTTTTTTTTTTTCGCCCCCCAAATATAATCACGTCATATTCCTAGTTTTCTCGGGAAGCCACAACTGAAGGATGTCCTGAAACTTGGACAATTGTTTATCTATGAAAATCGAGCTTAATTCTTTCCGCGCAATCTCTAGCATTAACTTTAGCCCGTAGTAGAATTTAGAAAAACCTAAACATCATCAGATGCAAAATCTGATAATCTCTTGTCGAATTCCAATATATGTAACATTTACCTTTATAAAGTTTAAAATTCCTTAGAAACTGTTTTTAAATACTTGAACTCAAAATGACAAACACCCTTTTTAAACTACTTTAGATTCTTCGTTTATGCACAAGCTTTATAACTTTCATGAAAATGGGGATTTTTTTTACATACAGGAGAAATTTTAGTTACATAAGACTTCTATATGTGATGTCACTGTTAGGCACTTATAACAACTTGCCTAGATTGGATTTGAACAAGTCTTGGATTAGTCTCGACTCTCGACTTAACTTTCACGTCAACCTGGGAGCTGTAAAAGCGAATATGTCAGATACCTTACAATTTGAAATTACTTTTCCAACAATTTATTTTAATTTTAATTTTTTTTTTTATATATTGCATTACTTTGGGTCAATATCTGTCTAAAGTGTTTAATATATATATATGTATATATTTTTTATCAGTAAAAAGAACTTTATTGATGAATATAACATACAAGATATAGAATTACATCAATAAAGATGAAGTAAAGAGCCAAAAGCATCAAAGTGAACTCTCCCAATCCCAACTAGGTTGGCACTAGGAGAGACACCCTATCATATGCAAGTTCAAGCCAAAGTTGGTAAGAGACCAACAAAGCAAAAAAGAAACAAACAAGGAGGCCTACTAAGGCAGAGCAGCACAGCAAAAATGACAACAGCCATAGCAGCATGCAGTTTAAACCTTAAAAGTCTACTCCCTTACTTCCATCAGCAGACCAGCACTTAGCAGAGCAACACTTATGCTATGCTTGGTTGGAGGATTTGGGGATGGATTTGGAAAGAGAAAGAGAAAAGGTGTGTGAAACTAGGTGAAATGTAGATATCTTTTATTCACATTTCACCCACCTTTTCCATTTTCTTTTCCAAATCCCTCCTCAAATCCTCCAACCAAACACAACATTAATAAGACTATAAAACCAGCAATTAGCAGCTGACCTTAGCAGATTTGCTTCAGGGCACTAGCAGACCAACACTTAGTAGCACCAGCAGACTTAGGGGCACCAGCAGACTTCCATCAGCAGATTAAATTATTTGTCCTGGACTTTAGTAATGGTCACATGGTTGGATCTTAAATTATTTGATGTATACCTTGAAGATCTCCATATTTGATTAAATTGTTTGTTTTGTTACTACAACTTGTCATCATGATAATGAAGAGTGTAATTGGGATCTGTTTTGGTTGCAAAATGTGAAATAAATTGAGAGAGTGATATTAAAAGAGTAAGCTTTGTGATTCAATATATTCAGAAACCAAATAGAGGCTCCATTAAATAGGAGCTATGTTACAAACATCATTATGATACAATTCAATATAATAATGAAAAAGAGGCCGAAAGGAGACAGGCGACCGAAAGCAGGAAAAGGAAAAGGAATCCTATCTATCTTTAGCTAGCTGTATGTCTATGTATATTAATATATTATACATACATTAATAGTTTATACATACATTAATATATTAACAGCCCCCCTTAAACTCAAGGAGGACAAACATCAACCAACTGGAGTTTGGAGACAAGGTCAACGAAGCGGCCAGGAGAATGAGCTTTGGTGAAGATATCAGCAGGTTGATCAACAGAAGAGATTGGATGGAGATGGACAGTACCACGAGTGACGTGTTGACGAATAAAATGGCAGCCAATCTCAATGTGCTTGGTGCGATCATGAAAAACATTATTGTGAGCAATTTGAAGAGCACTTTGATTGTCGCAAAAGAGGGCAGTAGTGCCAGAGGGGGAAACACCCATGTCAGCAAGAAGCCAATGAAGCCAAAGAAGCTCTTGAGTAGTATCAGCAAGAGCACGGTATTCGGCCTTGGTACTGGAACGAGCAGTAAGAGATTGTTTCTTGCTGTGCCAAGAAATAAGAGAATCACCTAAGAAAAAGTAGAACCCTGTCACACCCCAAATCCGGGTATGACCAGCCGTGGCCCACAGGGACTTAGCCCAAGGCACACGTAAGCCTAAACATGAATCCAAAACCATAAAGAATAAATGTGATGATAGCCCAGAAATAAATAAATCAACACTCAATCCAGTGACATACCACAAGTGAAAAACAAGTCATAACCAACTTCCTAAAAATATATATATACTAAATGGGACACAAACCGCCCACAAAATAAAATAATTCTAAATAAAACCTAACCACAATGTATGTACAAAACTCGACAAAGCAACCTAAAACAAATTAAATAAATGCCCTAGAGGTCCATGCAATTGAGTCCCCGTTATGCTATGAGTCCACTCTAAGTCCTTCTAACACCTGGAAATGGTAAACAACTAAGTCAGCTGATAGCTCAGTGAGTAGCAACATGGATAGTAAATACAGTTTTGAAAACATATATATCACAAAAACTAAA